TAACATAAACAATAAATTAATACATTATTAAGTTCAGCAGGGTTAGCCAGTCATTTTCACTGTTTTGACCTCCTACTGTATTTTGACTTGAAAACACTATTAGTGATCCAATTTACTGCTGCGCAATGTTATCTGGGATTACTGTATCCGCACTGAACAACTGTACAGTAACTACACAAAATTGCAAAAAGCAAATTTTTGATTAAATAAATAATAAATACATAATAATTGAATAATAATTTATAAGTACAATTGGTCTAATTTCCTCTGTGCTGTCCCACCGGTTTTGTTTCACCTCAGTGAGTCGAATCTTTTGAACCTGTTCACCTAAACACCGCTTAGCCAATCAAATTAGAGGATCGAAACTAACAGTAGTATAAAGTTGATTGGGACCATTAAAAATGATTATCATTAAAAATTGAAAGACAAAACAAAATTACAATAAATAAAAAATTAAAGACAAAATTACAATGTGTTATTTTTTTTTTTTTGGACTAGACGTTGATATAAGGTGCAAAGACAAATGTGAGCTGTGATACACTACTACAGTGTGCGCACAAAACCTTTTACACACATCGTCTCTCAAATAATCAGGACAGGACTCAACAAATATTGTTTTTACATTTTATTTCACAAAAAATGATGTGGCTTATGACTGTAGTATACACATAAAAATATCCTGCAGCAAGATCATGCTTTCACCAGTACACACCGTGTGACATTGTGGGTATTATTCAGTAAATTTCACTTCAGAGGCAACAAATCTACCACAATGTGTAGTTAATAAAACTGAAACTCCTCCCGTCTCATTGGAAATACTCAAGAAATGAATATAGTCTAAAATGCCAATGGGTTAGACTGAACAGAAACTGAGAACTGGGAGCTAAAAGAGATTGTGAATGAAACCATTGATCTTATATATCCTTCTTTGCATGTCATTAAACAGACTAGCTTTGTTCTCGTTCCACAATGGATACAGTTATGCTTTGAGAAGCGTCTGATGGATTCTTCATCTAACTCCATCAATAACCTTTCAGTCAATCAATGAGACTGAAAATGTGTTTTAGTGGCTTGCTGCTGTATAAAAACACAATGACATCTGATATTTCTCCATGTCCTGCTGGTACAAATCATGGTGCGATTGGAGGACAGATGACCAAATGACATGAAAATGATCCTGTGCCTGTTTTAAAATGCATAGATAAATGTGTTTGTGCTATATATAGGGTAAAGGTTGGATATAACTTAAAGAGAAAATGAAAAGAAAAGAGAGAAGGAGATATGCAGAGAGGTTCTAGTGAATATGGGATACAGTAAATAGGGCTTGGATGCTGTTTTTGGAGCAGATCTGAGAATAATAAACCCACTTCATGTTCAAATTTAGCAGCGCATTGGGATCAAGCCTCACTCAAGCTATAACTCCATTCCCTCAAAAATGATTTTTGCCCAACTTGCCCTGAACTAGGTCTACATGTCCACTCAATCCTCAAAGACTTATCTGACATCATTTCGGCAAAATAAAAAAAGAGAATTCAGGTATAAAATATAATCTTTATGCATTGCAATAAACTTAAAAAGTGACAAAGAAACCAACGTGTTTCCATGTGCAAAGACATTAGAGAAGCTGAGATTTGCAAAACTCAATCGTATTATCACTGTAATGCAAACATCACCTCAGGAGCAAAATCAAAGTCACTCAAATATCACATTGAAAATTGTTTCTACTTGATGAAAATTATGTGTACATGTCTCTCAATAATCCATTTACCTCTCTTCAACTTTGCAAACACATCTTTCTTTCATGTCACACTTTTTAGTGCATCAAATATTGTAAATATTAGTTCTGACTGATAAAAAGGTCACCTTGCATACCATAATAATACTCCCGGGTTGATGTTATTAATACGAATTTTTGTGGTTTAAAAGTGCATTTTTAAGAAAAGCTGCATTCATATCCAAAACCATATTCATATTAAAAACAATCAGACACAACACACATCATATTTTTAAATAAACAAACAAAAACAAATAAATAAAGTAATAAATAGTTAAATAAATATGTATACATCAGTCCATTTCAGTTTGCTCTCATCTCACTCAAGATGATAATTAGTACTTACAATATGCATCATTGAATAATTCATCCACTTTCAATGAATGGGTGGGAAATTAGGGCGGGCCCCTCTGGAGCATCTGATTGGCTGGAGGTCATGATTGACTGATGTGCCCCGCCCCCTTCATCTGTCTCTGTGAGGAGTCCAACAACAGGAGGCTAAGGGCCAAAAAAATGAGAATGATGGGCCAGACAGTTGAAAGGATCACATGGAAATCTGGAGTTGGCCATCAGGTCCTCTTGAAGAGCTAACAACACAGGACTACAAAGACACAAACGACACAGGCAGAAGGGAGAGAAAACAGAAACAGTGGCCATAAGTTGGTGAAAAATTAAATCACCATATCCTGTTTCCTATTAAACTGGAGCAACTGTAATAGAAAAAAAAGCTAAATTCACTGATTCAGACATGAACATTAACTCCCTTTTGACAGACACACAGGGGCACATGCAAAAGCAAGTAGTATGGGAACACATCTTTCTTTCATGTCACACTTTTTAGTGCATCAAATATTGTAAATATTAGTTCTGACTGATAAAAAGGTCACCTTGCATACCATAATAATACTCCCGGGTTGATGTTATTAATACTAATTTTTGTGGTTTAAAAGTGCATTTTTAAGAAAAGCTGCATTCATATCCAAAACCATATTCATATTAAAACAATCAGACACAACACACATCATATTTTAAAATAAACAAACAAAAACACAAATAAATAAAGTAATAAATAGTTAAATAAATATGTATACATCAGTCCATTTCAGTTTGCTCTCATCTCACTCAAGATGATAATTAGTACTTACAATATGCATCATTGAATAATTCATCCAATTTCAATGAATGGGTGGGAAATTAGGGCGGGCCCCTCTGGAGCATCTGATTGGCTGGAGGTCATGATTGACTGATGTGCCCCGCCCCCTTCATCTGTCTCTGTGAGGAGTCCAACAACAGGAGGCTAAGGGCCAAAAAAATGAGAATGATGGGCCAGACAGTTGAAAGGATCACATGGAAATCTGGAGTTGGCCATCAGGTCCTCTTGAAGAGCTAACAACACAGGACTACAAAGACACAAACGACACAGGCAGAAGGGAGAGAAAACAGAAACAGTGGCCATAAGTTGGTGAAAAATTAAATCACCATATCCTGTTTCCTATTAAACTGGAGCAACTGTAATAGAAAAAAAAGCTAAATTCACTGATTCAGACATGAACATTAACTCCCTTTTGACAGACACACAGGGGCACATGCAAAAGCAAGTAGTATGGGACGAAAGAAATGCTGTCTATATTTGACAACTCAGGATGAGAGGGTGATGAAAGGATGCTGGGCATCTCAATTTTATTTTTGTATACTTTACCGGTCGATTTTAAAATGTTTTTGAAACCAAAACTGCATTTATTTGATAAAAAAATATAGTAAAAACAGTAATATTGTGAAATATTATGATTTTTACTGTATTAAAACTGTTCTATATTTTAATATATTTTTAAATATAATTCCTGTGATGGCAAAACTGAAGTTTCAGCATATATTATTTCATACTTTCAAGATCCAGAAATTATACTGATATGCTGATTTGGTGCCGAAGAAACATTTCTTATTATTAACAATATTGAAAAGAATATTTCTGTGGTAACCATGATAACACTACCATTCAAAATGTGTGGTAAGTAGGACGTAAAAAAGGGAAAGGAAAATAAATTAATAATTAAATTCAGCAAGGACATGTTAAATTGTTTAAAAGTGACAGTAAACACATTTATAATGTTACAAAAATATTTATATTTTAAATAAATGCTGTTCTTTTGCTGAATCAAGAAAAAATGTATCATGGTTTCCACAAAAATAAGCAGAAAAACTGTTTTCAACATTGATAATAATAAGAACCATTTAAAAAAAACTGAGCACCAAATAATAATTGCTCCAAATCAGCAAATAAAAATGATTTCTGAAGGATCATGTGACACTAAAGACTGGTGTAAGGAAAATTCACAAGAATAAATTACTTTTAAAAACGAATTTAATAAGCTTATTTAAAAATATTTTCAAATAGAAAACAGCTATTTTAAATTGTACGATGTGACGTCAAAAAAATCGTTGAGCCGTTTAACTTTAGAAACAGTAGTGTAAGCGTCAGGCGCAAATGACAAACAGCGTTGCTGCTTTGTTAATGGGAGCGGGCAAACACATAAGTTTACACATTTAACAAGACAAAAAGTAATATTTAAAACATTATAGTTGATGCTGTCTAGCTAAGAGCACATACACATCTAGAGCAATACATGGACATTTTTAGTAACACAATTTTTTCATTTTCCCATTACAATGCGAGTAGTTCTTAGGATGATGCGAGGGTGTTTGTTAGGGTGTTGCTATGCAGCCATTCGATGTGCCTTTTAATATGTTGCTCTACAGTTTCTGGGTGTACATGGGCGGTTGTTTGTATAAATGCATTAATGGCATTAATGACATAACCATCTTCATACTGCAAACAATTATAGCTATCTACAGCTCCAGAGTCAAAAATTTTATTTAATTTTATTTTAATCAGAAGCAAACTACTGCTCTGTGGTTGGGATATATTTTGGTCACCATGGGCAAAACAGCATTTGACTAATTCAGTAATGAGCAAGGGATGTGAAATGTAGAAACACCGACTCCTGCAGGCAGAGAATGGAAGCGTCCATCGCTCTTTTATTAACATCATTACCAGGAATAATAAAGAATGTTTTTATAATACTTTATACTGTCACTGTTGAAAACTTTTTTTTGTTGTTGTTAAAAAAGAAAACTGTTTTGACAAAAAATTAAAAAATAAAAATCTGACACTATAGAAGTGTTACACCTCATGAATGTGATGCATTTACGTTATGTCACATTATGATAGTTGAAAATTATGATTGTTGAAATTATTAAATGTTATTACATTTTGTTAAACTTTCCTTAAATTTAGTGGGAATAAAATGGTCAAGTGCTATTGCATTCTATAATGTTGGGTCTTGGTGACACCGGTGAAGCGGATCAGACTGGTTTCCATTACACTAAAGTAGAATTCCATGATTTCCAAACACTATCAACTGAGTCACATCATATACATAACATGTCTTTAAGCAGGGCACAGGAAACAGCAATATTACAAAGCTAAACTAGACCTGAAATCTCGGATCACTCCTAGGGAAAAAAATTCAGAGGCTTGTCTATACATGTAAATGTAACCGCTGTCTACCATCAGATCCGCATGAACTGCATCTCTGTCAGTCTTGCATGAGCAATGCTAACACAATAATAAATATTTCATCAAAGGATTCATGGCTTTAATTTTGATCTAGCACTGCACCATTCATTCCAAAATACCTCCTCCATAACTTTACACTGTTATTTACTTATCGTATAGGCTAGGCCTAGCCTATATGTTTATCAGAATGTCAAATATATTTATCAAATATTATTGCAATAAATCAAATATGCAAATATTTTGCAGGTAAAACCATGGTATCAAGGACTGATATAGATGACGATATAGGCTACACTATATCGTGGAGGCGATATAATGTGTCAATCGATAGCGATTTTGTTTATTATAAACAAACAAACAAAAAAAAACATCGTCGCAGCTTAGAGTAATGAAATTACTCACATCGTGGCATAAAATTTTGGTTATATCGCCCACATTAAAAACCTTTAAAAAACATTTTCAGCCAGTATTCAGTGGTGTGAAGTGTCACTGTCACATGTTGCCATTTCTAATATTTCCAGGCGGACCGAAGAAAATATTCCCACAAATGACTGATCAATGTGTTCTTTAAGATGCATAGAAACACTCAAAAGTTGGCCTGACAACGTAACTGTTTCACTGGAACAAATGCATCCAGTGTTTAGGACGTTTGGCATGAGGAGGATAAGCCCATAAACCGACTATCCGCTCTCACCTGACCGCTTCACTCACCTGCGGATTCCGGGCATTCCTTCACCGGCGAGCCTGCTGTCCGCTTCGGCTTTGACTTCCTCCGGATAGCGTTTCTCCTCCGTTCACTCATGTTTTTGTTACTTCATTACAACATTTAAAAGACCTTTAAATAACGGGTGTTTTACGTCCACGCAGCATTTCGGTCCATGTCTTAACAAGCGTCTGCACCCATAAGAACTCTGTAACGTTAGTGTTACGCAAAAGTAAAGCGAAACGCTTCGTTTAGTGTTTTCCTCAGATTCTCGGACTCTTCTGACCGCTTCACTCACCTGCGGATTCTAGGCATTCCTTCACCGGCGAGCCTGCTGTCCGCTTCGGCTTTGACTTCCTCCGGATAGCGTTTCTCCTCAGTTCACTCATGTTTTTGTTACTTCATTACAACATTTAAAAGACCTTTAAATAACGGGTGTTTTACGTCCACGCAGCATTTCGGACCATGTCTTAACAAGCGTCTGCACCCATAAGAACTCTGTAACGTTAGTGTTACGCAAAAGTAAAGCGAAACGCTTCGTTTAGTGTTTTCCTCAGATTCTCGGACTCTTACAGTAGTACACTGTTCTGGAGTTTATCAGCCCATATCACCACCCTCTAAGAGCTCTGATAGCACGATTGGTCCAGTCCTGTCATTTCCTCGGTGCTCTGACCTTCTACTGTATATTTTGACTCGCCGACCTCAAAACATTAGTTTGTGGGGATTTTGATTCATCTCAGTGAGTCGAATCGTTTGAAGCCGTTTACCTAAACACTGCTTAGCCAATGAAATTGGAGAACCGGTGTTGTGGCGAATTTTGACTCTTTGGGTGGGGATTATCGGCATTGAAGAACTGTAACTGTAAAAATAAATAAATAAAAAACTATCAAAGGTTATGAAATAAAATAAACAATAAATTAATACATTATTAAGTTCAGCAGGGTTAGCCAGTCATTTTCACTGTTTTGACCTCCTACTGTATTTTGACTTGAAAACACGATTAGTGATCCAAAAAAAATATAGTAAAAACAGTAATATTGTGAAATATTATGATTTTTACTGTATTAAAACTGTTCTATATTTTAATATATTTTTAAATATAATTCCTGTGATGGCAAAACTGAAGTTTCAGCATATATTATTTCATACTTTCAAGATCCAGAAATTATACTGATATGCTGATTTGGTGCCGAAGAAACATTTCTTATTATTAACAATATTGAAAAGAATATTTCTGTGGTAACCATGATAACACTACCATTCAAAATGTGTGGTAAGTAGGACGTAAAAAAGGGAAAGGAAAATAAATTAATAATTAAATTCAGCAAGGACATGTTAAATTGTTTAAAAGTGACAGTAAACACATTTATAATGTTACAAAAATATTTATATTTTAAATAAATGCTGTTCTTTTGCTGAATCAAGAAAAAATGTATCATGGTTTCCACAAAAATAAGCAGAAAAACTGTTTTCAACATTGATAATAATAAGAACCATTTAAAAAAAACTGAGCACCAAATAATAATTGCTCCAAATCAGCAAATAAAAATGATTTCTGAAGGATCATGTGACACTAAAGACTGGTGTAAGGAAAATTCACAAGAATAAATTACTTTTAAAAACGAATTTAATAAGCTTATTTAAAAATATTTTCAAATAGAAAACAGCTATTTTAAATTGTATTATTTCACTGTATTACAGTTTTTACTATATTTTTGATCAAATAAATGCAGTCTTTGTGAGCATAAGTGGCTTTATTTAAATACATGAAAAATCTTAATTACAAACTTTTGATTGGTAGTGTATTGTAAAAGTGTGAGGAAGTGGGTGCTGCTGTTAACATTATTTGTGAATGCGTGACCCAACGTGTGACATATTTTTCTGTTAGAAATAGAGTGAGAGAGAAAACAGTAGAGCGCGAGTTCCTCCGAGGGACGGGTTACCTGTGGCCCGTGGATGCCCTCCCGCGCCTCAGTTGTGGGGAGGTTGGCGGTACTGAGCCAGCAGGCTGCTGACAATCTAAGAGAGACTGATAAATTAGACATATACAGAGGTGTGACAGTCAGGGTTAGTGACACAAACACAGACATAAATGGGCACAGAGATGAGAAGTGAACTTGCTGGAAATGGCTGCAATGCTCTAACTTCTGAGTGTTAATCTCATGCAGAATCACACGTAAAATGAACATAGAGCATGTAGAATGAGAAAAATAATTACCAACATTCAGCTGCATATATTTGCGTACATTCATGAGGAATGCCAGGTATAGATGGAAGGAAAGCAAGGTGGTATCACCTTCAGTTTGTTAAACAGAGATACACTACTTTTCAAAAGTTTGGGGTCGTTAAAACTTAGTTCTTATGCTCAACAATGCTGCATTTATTTGATCAAAAAATACAGTAATATTGTGAAATATTATTGCAATTTAAAATTACTGTATTCTATTTCAAATATTTTAAAATAAAATGTATTCCTTATATTTTCAGCAGCCATTACTTCAGTGTCACATGATCCTTCAGGAATCATTCTAATATGCTGATTTGGTGCTCTAAAAACATTAATTATTATTATTGCTGAAAACGGGCACAGGAAACAGCAATATTACAAAGCTAAACTAGACCTGAAATCTCGGATCACTCCTAGGGAAAAAAAATCAGAGGCTTGTCTATACATGTAAATGTAACCGCTGTCTACCATCAGATCCGCATGAACTGCATCTCTGTCAGTCTTGCATGAGCAATGCTAACACAATGTTCTGATGTTCTGTACAACCTTCAACTGCTGACCTTGTCAAATGCTTTTTGGCCCACAGCTCCTTAAAGGTGAAAGTATTTCTACAAAACGAGTGCCATTTTTTAATACATACTGTACACATTATACCTATACAGTATAATATACACTTTATATACATATGTGTAAAAAATACTTTGAGACACAGTAAAAGCTGTCATCTGTTATTAATTTTTTTTTTTGTGTGCAAATTTCCTGTTATATTATTTTTTATTTTTATTTTATTTTGCCTCAAGAATGCCTTTTTTGGCATTCTCCTTGCTATATTAGCAAATATTTACATTTTGATTAAAAAAATATATGTAAATAAAAAGCATTTCTTTATCGCCGTTTTAGTTGAACAAAACAATAGATTTTAGTTGAGTTAAATAAATAAACAATAAAAATCCTTAAATAATGTGAAAATAAAGTGAACTCTTCTTGTCCAATCATTAAAAACATTAATTATTATTATTGCTGAAAACAGTTGTGTTGCTTAATATTTTTGTGGAAAGTATACTTCTTCCCCAAGATTTTCTGATGAAAAAAAGTTCATATTCAACAGCATTTCTTTGAAATAGAAATATTTTGTAACATTATAAATGTCCTTACTTTCATTTTGATCAATTTAACGTATCCTTAAAAAAGTATTAATTTCTTTAAAAAAATAAATAAAAATAAATAAAATAAAATCGTACTGATCTCAAACTTTTAAAGGTCCCCTGAAATGCTTAGAAACACGCAGCGTTACTCTATGTGTTGACGTCATTTTAACTGAAACAGGAAGACAGGGCGGGACATATCAAGCAACCCCACCCCTTTTTAAAATAGCAAATAGCGTTCGTTTATATCACAGCTTGGGCTAGAGCCGTTCAGAGCCGTTGAGCTCCGTAAAGCCGCAGGGTATGCCAGCCACAATCTCATCCACATTGCTATAAAATATAGCATTCTGTGTAGAATTCAAATAGCTCCGATACATTTTGTGGTCTGCGCCGACTCGCGCATGTGATCCGCTCCGTGCTATCGTGTCTCTGGACTGGAGCAGAATCGCCGTTTTAGTTGAACAAAACAATAGATTTTAGTTGAGTTAAATAAATAAACAATAAAAATCCTTAAATAATGTGAAAATAAAGTGAACTCTTCTTGTCCAATCATTTATTTATTTATTGAAATAAATAAATAAATGTTATCATAATGGCATCATCTTTTCAGAAACTCTTCCTGACAACTCATTTTATTACTTTATCTTATGCTCTTTTATGTTTGTCAGCAGGGGACGATCTTACATTTTCAAACAGTTACCACTATTTTGTATAAAAAATAAAAAACTGATCATTTAAGAAAAAAATTAAATAAAAATATATTACAGAAAATACATTATATATAATAATATAGATATATTAACATTTAATGATCTAATAAGCATCTTGCATTTTCATGACCATAAGCAAAGGGCTTAAAATGTCCTATTAAAATGCCATATGGTAAAACTGTCAATCCTGTTACCCACTGTATATTAACCCTGTTAAAATGCATTAAAAGTCATACATTTAATTTGAGATGGAACAAGACAATTGATTAAAACTTAAACACACTATGTGCCTAAAAGAATGTTTAAAAACATTCAGAAATTTACTTTAAAAATGTCCTTATCAAACTGGACAGGCACCCGTTCCATAGAATGACTCATGATATAATGAATGGCACATTTAATGTGGCTCTGTACTCTACAGCTCATTGAAATGCAGTAGCTGGGCAGCAGGCAGCATGTGCAAGAACACGTCCCTGCATTTGCATATGGCAGATCCTGCACTGCACTTATGCTGTGTCCATGAATAGCTCTGCTCTATACAGGGTGCACTGAGATCAACTAAGCATTTTCTGTTAGCAAGCAAAGCAGTAAAAATAAGTTTAATGTAATTATACATAAGCTACTACTCATGATTTCAGTATACAGCACTTTGAAAGACTCACAAGACTTGATGACTACAAAAAGGCCAAAGTAACTGTTCAATTGTTCAGTTCACAATGTTGCCAGTGGATGGAGCTGTAGTTGTCAGATGTGCTAATACGAAAATAACTGAAAACTCCATCACACAAACTAACTGCTTTGCATGCAGTATGTAGCACCCATTCCATCAAGCCATAAAATGGAAGCGCACATGCAAGAATGATATTCTAATAGAGACATGCACCAATCAATACCTGTTTTGCTTTACAGAATAATTCTTCTAGTATCATCCGAATACATATCCTTATGGATGCAGATTCCAACAATTGTGCTTGCCAAAAAAACAGTTTTCTTACTCAGGCCGCAAAAAAAGGACATCAAGCATAGTGCATTTTTTTTATTTTTTATTATTTAATCTTATTTTTATACCCAGGCAACATTCTTTTAATATGTACTATCTCACAAAGCCATGTGTTTGAAATAATTAAAAGTTTGGAATAATTACTATTTTTTAATGTTTTTGAAAGAAGTCAGAAAACATTCTAATATGCTAATTTGGTGCTTAGGAAACATTTCTTAAAGGGGTCATATGATGCGATTTCAAGTTTTCCTTTCTCTTTGGAGTGTTACAAGCTGATTGTGCATAGATAAGATCCCTGAAGTTGCTTATAAAAACTGCTGCTTAATATTTTTTGTGAACCCTGTGATACATTTTTTTCAGGATTCTTTGATGAATACAAAGTTTGAAAGAACCGTATTTATTTGAAATTTGTTTTGTAACATTATAAATTTAATGCGTCCTTGCTGAATAAAAGTATTAATTTCATTTTTTAAATTTTTTTTTTATTTTACTTACCCCAAACTTTTGAATGGTAGTGTATCATGTTGTAGTGTTTCCACAAAAATGTTAAGCAGCACAATTGTTTTCAACATTGATAATAATGAGAAATGTTTCTTGGGCAGCAAATCAGCACATCAGAATGATTTCTGAAGGATCACCACGTGACACTGAAGACTAGAGAAATGCCTGTTGAAAATTCAGCTCTGTCATCACAGGAATAAATTACATTTTAAAATGTATTCAAATAGAAAACAGTTCTTTTAAATTGTAATAGTATTTCACCACATTACTGATTTTACTGTATTTTTGAACAAATAAATGCAGCCTTGGTGAGCATAAGAGAATTCTTTCAAAAACATTTAAAAAAAAAATCGTAATTACTCCTAGATTTTAACCAATAGTGTCTTTCTAGAGCTGGCAAAACATAATTCTGTTCAGAATGACTTAGTTGAAATTTCAAGTAGTATCAGTAAAAAAAAGTCTCTAAATATATCCCTGAGTTGAATCATATGCTCCAAGCAGTCATATCAGAAGGAAACCAGTCTGTCCTTAAACCATGTCACCTACTGAGGGTCACCACTAGGGATTCTGGGAGTCCCAGGCTGGATTAGAGAAGTTCTTGAAGCAGCTGAAGGTGTGAACTGAGTCACATTGGAGCGCATGCGAGATCTCACGGAAAGTGGCAACGGTTGCCGAGCGCCCAGGACAGGAGAACGGTAGGGTGAAGTAGGAGCAGATCTGGGAACATGAGCATCAGAATCTCCACTATGAACAACATTACAAAACTCAATACTTAGCATCTCTGGGTCTAAAACTAAAGTTTGAGTGCCTAGTTTCCACTGCGACTGGCCGAGGAAAAACGGCTGGGCTGAGGAGGTCCAGGAGGAGGAGGATGGAGCAGGGACATCCAGTGAAGGAGAGCTACTGGCTGATGCAACCATATTGTTTTGGAATAGACAGAAAGGGGGTTTTGAAACTGATGCAGTGGGGCTAGGGGGAGCAGTGAGTGCAGTTCGATGACTTACTTTTTGAGGGCTGCTCTTAATTTTTGGCACTTTCCCTCCACGGCCACAGTGCGACTGCTCATGGTCAAACTCCAGGTCCTCCAGGCGCTGGGTGAGGGCCAGTTTCTGGTGAATGGCCATTCGCAGGAGGGAGTTCAGAGTCTTCTTTTCATCTTCTGCGGCAGCCAGCTGCCTCTGCATGTCATCCAGCTGAGTTACGTACTCATCACATCTGGACAAAGAGGGGGAGAGAACCTCGACATTAAGTGATTAAACAAAATTACAACATATTTTACTACCACAATGTATTTCAGTGTAAAAAATTATATTCAGCTTAAAAAATATAACGAAGAATTTGAATTTGTCCATCTTAAATCATTGGATTCTTGAACAAATGGCTCTAAAACATCAGTTCTTTTCAGTCAAAAATTCATTGTGTAGTAAGATACATATTATGAATTTTGTTAGTAGTAGTTTTACAAATATTATTGTAATTAATTAATAATTATTGTATTTAATTAAATTATTGTATTCCATTTATGCCACATTTAAAAATACATTAAGTCAATAAAACACCTTTTGATACATTTTTACTAATTTAAAACTTCAAATTTTTTTTACAATGATGTAAGTCGTGTCCCCAGCTAAAAAAAAATGTTCTAAGAAAGTTCTGCCAATGTTTCATTGTTATGAAAACATTATTTCTGAATCTTCTCTGAACATTAGAAATGTCCAGCTTTTTAAATGTTTTAAAAACATTTTTTCTTTGTTAAACGAATGTTATAACAAGAGAACATGCAAACATGCAGGTTCTTTTTGAAAGTACTCATTTTGAAACAAGTAGTGACATTTAAAAAATGGGAACAGTCGCATTCAGTGTAGACACGGTGTAAAAGTACTAAAAGGATCTTTATTGGAATCATTAAGGAGCCAGAATCGTTAATAGGAATCAGAATCGGAACTTATTTCCAGCCCTACCTGTAGCACTAACTAAATGGCTCCTTTAGCTATTAACTAACACTATTTACAACCTAGGTGAGATCAGCCGAAAAGTAAATAGTTTCAGAGGTGGAGCAAGCAGTTACATTTTGATTTACATTTTTAACGAATCATTAATGTGTATTCAAAAAAGAAACAATTCCAGTTTGGATGTCCTCAATAATATTAAATGCAGTTAAGGGCCGATAAACGCACCTTGTGGCAAACATTGCCCTCAGTGAGGAAAAGGTGGCTGCATCTTCTTTGAGGGCCTTTAGTTCATTTCTAAGCTTCATCATTGTCTCCGTCACCATAGACTTCTCATTTTCATATTTACTCTTCAGGTTTGCAAGGGCCACCTCGGCAGTCTAGAAACAAATATTAAAAACATACAAAGTTCTGTTATATATGCTTTTATTTGAGACCAAACACAACATAAGACATAAACTTGGCCCTCTTACCTGTTTGTTGGCTTTCAGGACAAAACGCAATGTAGCAATCTGCTCTCTTTTGGTGCTCAAGAGGGATTTGAGTTTTAGGATCTCCTCCAAGCAGACCTCTTTGTCCTTATCGAGGATGGGTGCCAACTCTCGTGCTGCAGCCCTCTGCCTGGACAGCTGGAGCGAGCGGTCCACAGCTTTCTGCAGGTGTTTGATCTGGTCACGGATGATGGCGTTGAGGTTATAGATGTTCATGGGTTCGCGGCGGAGATCACCTGTTTCTGGCACTGGGGAGGGTGAGAGAGATGAACCATTGATTGGTGAACCAAACAGTGTTTTGTTGGGGCTTCCTCCTTCCCCTTTAGTTCCTTCTCCAAGGGGTTCCTTTGATGGAGAGTCTTGAGGACTCTTGGACACGTCTGAGGAGTTAGCAGCCGCGATTCGGCGAGCTAAACGTGGAGAAAGCAGGGCTCTTGGGTCCTCTGGGCCTTTGAGACTGCCGCTACGTGTGACCCGGCTCTGACGGTAGTAGTCCAGCATGACACGGTTCGGAGTTTCATTGTTGCACAAGCAGACATGGTGGTAAAGCTGAGCGAGTTCCTCGCTAAATGTAACCAGCTCGTCCTGAGCTGTGTTCAGCATGCTGTTACTTTCGCTAGCCATAACAGAAGCACACCGGAGCTCCGCTTCCAGACTGCTAACCCGCTCGCGGCCCTCGCGCCAGGCTTTCTCCAACCGTTTCACTTGTTCTTCGAGAGCCTGGACCTTCCCTTCGCTGTGGTTGCTCTCTTCTGATTGGTTCTCCACAGACTGGTTATATTTTTCCTTCAAAGCCTTAAGCTCCGCCTTCAAGTCAATGACTTCAGTCACGGCAACTCTGTATTTGCACTCCAGAAGCTCCATTCCATTGATGTCTGCCTCATTATCGCAGCAACCGTTAATGGGCCCGACGCTCTTCTCGGACTCCTCTGTGTCAAACTCCTTGTCGCTGTAGAGACGCTTCATAGAGTTGAAGCGCTCCGTAAGGCGGTGAACACGCCTGTGCTGCTCAGTTAAAGCGCCCTGTGTGTGCTGCAGTTGAGTTTGAGACTCCTGCAGGTTGGTAAGTATAACCGCCTTCTCTCGCTCAACCTAGTGAACAAGATGATACAAAGTTTGTTAGCAAAAACCAAGAAGGTCTTAAAAAACTATATGTTAGCCTTGCCATTCATTTACACAACTGGGGTCAGTAAATTTTTTAAAGAAATTATTACTTTTATTCATAAAGGACACATTAAATTGATAAAAAGTGACAGTAAATACATTTATGTTACAAACAATTTCACATTTCAAATGAAATATGTTCTTTTGAACATTCTATTCATCAAAGAATCCTGAAAACAAGTATTAAATAGAAATAGTTAAGAAATGAAAGTTCATCAAGCCTTACCTACAATACTTTTGCTAGAAAACATGGAATATTTCACTCTATGTGCTTATAAAATTCCACTCTATAGACAATTGTGATAGCTAGGTGTGTTAGCTTGCTTGACACAAATTTAGCATTACTGCAGAGCTGTAATTGAGCTCAAGTGCTGCTTAATTGCTTTCTGATCACTCATTGTATTGGAAGTGTCAGCCATCTAACACCTGAGGCTGAGATAGCGAAACCCTATAGATTCCTTACTGGAGATGAGCCAAAAAGGACAAAAGGAAATACATTTAAAAAGTAAACAGGGGTGGATGGGGAAACACTTTTTTTTCTGAATAAATGCCAGGCAATTACAGTAGCTTGAAGGGTGAGGAAACAATTAATTATAACCATGCAGTGAATTAATACACATCTAAACAGAAACAAATATTATAGCAACTACTTCGTGCAATAGGATGCTGGAAAAACAGGCTCTTGGCTATATATTTGATGGCAATCCCACACAGCTAGAGAAAACATTACTACAGCCACATTCCCCAGAGGAGACCACTGGATGCAAACATGTTATATAATACTTTTCATGAAATTGATCTGTTTAAACTGTGGATAAATGTATGTGTGGTAACATCGCTTTTTTTTTTCATTATACATGACCAAATGGCTATAGTGTTTTTAATGTATCATTATAGATACATATAAATAGACATTTTAATAAATTATAATAAAAAAAATAATTATTAATTATTTTATATCAAATATTTGATATTTTAAGTGTATTTTTGATAAATGTATGTGTGGTAACATCGCTTTTTTTTTCATTATACATGACCAAATGGCTATAGTGTTTTTAATGTATCATTATAGATACATATAAATAGACATTTTAATAAATTATAATAAAAAAAATAATTATTAATTATTTTATATCAAATATTTGATATTTTAAGTGTATTTTTATATTTACATTTATCTATCTATCTATCTATCTATCTATATATATATATATATACACAACAGTTCATTCTGGTTCTCGAATCTGATTGGCTGAGAGCCTTTTCCAGCAGTGCGATATTCCAGTAGTATCAGCACTCTTAACTGTTTCACCGTTTGTATCACTCCACTTGTTGTCGGATCTATACTGGAAGCATTTGTCTCAGTGAGCGTCAATGGTGGAAGAGCAAACCCACTATAATTTGACAATATTATTACTGTTATTGTGTCACAGAATTTTTAAGAGATTTTCACTGAGTTTTAAGAGATTTTTAGCCAAGAATGTAGTTGTTTAGACTTCAAATATGCGATTTATATATAAAGATAGCACCTATTTGACAATTTGTTTAGATGTTTTCGGAGAAGTGAGCTCCAGGCTGACAGCGACCGTTCAGCACTCATGTACCCGATGAAAACAGCCTTATCTCGGCCAGTCCTTGGGGAATTTGCCGCTGGCTCTGATGTAGATGGTGTTACACAAGGTATAATTCATTTTGGTTATATTAAACGGGCAATCTTTGGTCTTATTAAATGACTTTTATATTGAAAGGGACTGAAACATATTATTACTTTAGACAGCTATAAAAGATGCAACCATAGGGACGCAACCGACAAATTCCCATGAAAACTAGCGTTGTCATGGGAAATCCCCTTAACTGTTAAAAGGATAAAGCCAAAGTTATCTATATATATTTTTTTTTTACATGTACCACTGAGTCAACAATGACACCAGGCTACATTCACTGCAATTATTGTGTCATAATGTTTTGTCTGATTTGCTGTGTGATGCTCCTTTAAGCAGCTGATGCTCTCTATGTTTCCGTGTCCGCACTGGCAGATTTTCTATTCTTGTCCCATGCTGTCTCTCTTGCTGAATATGCCTGTGGTACACGCACATACAAATACATTACTGTGTCCTGCTTTTACAGAGACAGGCACAAAGCACTCACTCATAATGGTAATCAACCTGACAGTAGCCTCCCAAAGGACAAAATAGACTATTGCACTTCACTCAAATTTACACTGTAAACTTTCTACCTAAAGTATTTTCCAGTGATATGTAGAAGTGTCAAGGGCATGAAAATGTGTCAATGAAGGCAACCTTTGATGTCCGTTAAGATCGATTGGATATATAATGGTTAATGCCCTTTAAAGGGTTTAAGGCATCTATGTTTGCTTATAAAGTAGCAGTAGATGCATTCAAACTCTAATGAAAAGAGTCAATAGTTGCCCATTAATGCACTGGATAACAGCTGTTTTCCCCCAAACATCCCTCAGTGATTTATGGGACTATGAGTATCTGAGCAAAAACAGTTGAAAAAACATAAAACCACAAAATTATTTTTGTTATTTGAAAAATAAAATAAACATAAAATAAAATAAAATAAAAATTTTAAAAAGTAAATTTATTATATTTTAGGTTGTTGCCAAGGCAACATTTCTCATTTCCATTTAGTTTAATGTAAAGTTGGAAAATAACTTAAACTAAATAATATAAAAAAATAAATATGGTAGATAAATGTGACTAACCTGTAGGAGCTGTTGTTTGAGTTTCTGTATCTCAGACAGGTGGAGTTCACTGAAGAGATCAGACACTGGGTGCAGCACCTCTCCCTTCCTGCCTCCAGGTTGGTGATATTCTCCGTTCACCTTTGGTCCATGCTCATTGCACTCATTACAGCGGTTACGGTCATCATTGTTGGGGTTAGACCCAGATGCAGACGTGCCATTGGTTGCTGCCTCCTCTGCAAACTTCAAACCCTCCACGGCAGAGATGGCCAGGTGGGTAGTTCACTGAAGAGATCAGACACTGGGTGCAGCACCTCTCCCTTCCTGCCTCCAGGTTGGTGATATTCTCCGTTCACCTTTGGTCCATGCCCATTGCACTCATTACAGCGGTTACGGTCATCATTGTTGGGGTTAGACCCAGATGCAGACGTGCCATTGGTTGCTGCCTCCTCTGCAAACTTCAAACCCTCCACGGCAGAGATGGCCAGGTGGGTACTGGCTCCGTACACACTGTCCGTCAGGCTGAGATGATGGGCCAGCTCCTTTCTCAGATTGTTCTTCTGCTCTCTCTCACTCTTCAGAGCATCCAACGCCTCTTCTAACTGGCCTTCAGAAATGTCTTTCAAACGCAAAGCATCTTCCAGCTGGCTGTTGAGTAGCACCGTCTCTTCCTCAAGCACTTTGATTTCATGCTTTAGACCCTCATATTCCACCTGTACATTTTAAAGAGTTGAAAGAGAATGTGAACAGGCATATTTGTGGACACTTGACTGTGTAATATAATAATAATAATAATAATATTGTGTGTATATGCAATTATTATTGTATATCTAAGTCTATATACTGATATAGACATATATGCAATTAATATATATATATATATTCAATGCAGCTTTATGTGTTCTAGAGGAAAAAGGCAACAAAAGATCTTATATCACTTAAATGACAACTAATATCACTCTCATTCTTTCTCCTTTGCACCTCACAGCATGTCTCTCGTAAAGTATGGCCTGTACAACAACTTCTGCAAATATATATTTATTATCTTTATTTCTTTCTATCTATCTATCTATCTATCTATCTGTGTGTGTGTTATTATTATTATTATTATTGTGTATGTGTATACAACACACTTTTAAGATTATGCCATATGACCTCAGCTATGATTAGATAACTTATTTTCAAGTAAAATGAGTATAAATGCCCCAAGCAAGTTGCAGAATAAATAATAAATAGATTACATAGTGACATACTGCCACTCGTTTCAGGTAAATGTTTTCCATGTAATATATATTAACATATGGCATAATCTTAAAGGTACGGATGATATGATTCAAGTAGGACATGTACCTAAGTGAAAATCCTATCCCATCAAATCATCCCATCAAATCATAGTCCCAACTCTTACCTTCTACTAAAATCATAGGTTTATGAAAATGTTAAAACCCCTGAACCCCAACCTTAAGCCCTCAAATATGATTGGTTAACAGGAATGTTGATCCAGGATTATCAAGGATTTTAAAGGGATAGTTCACCCAAAAATGAAAATTACCCCATGATTTACTCACCCTCAAGACATCCTAAGTTATATGGCTTTCTTCTTTCAGACGAATACAATTGGAGTTCTATTTAAAAATGTACACCTAGGACGGCTTGAGGGTGAGTAAATCATGGGGTAATTTTCATTTTTGGGTGAACTATCCCTTTAATCCAGGAATGTGTCCTACTGGGATAAGCTTGATAAGCTTGAAGGTACAGAAGGAAAACCTAATTCTGAGGGTGGAAAATAGGGGCATAAAACTACACTAAACATAAAATTTGGTGCATGAAACCTAATGAAAAACTGTCAAAACGTATGCCCCCTGTAAAAAACACAGAGGCACTAAATTTACATTAAGTGACTGCATGTAATTCTACTCTGTAGTGGGTTTTGATCACATAGTATGACACTGTGTTTCACAGTTAGTGTGTGTGTGTGTGTGTGTGTGTGTGTATACCTGATTCTGTTTGAGTGTTGACACTAGTTTCTGTAGAGTAATGTTCTCCTCCTCCAGTTCAGTGTAGTCCTGCAGCAGTCTGGTCTCTCTGAACTTATACTCTCTGATTTCCTCTCTCATCCTGTTCCTTTGTAGCTCTAACATCTCATTATTCTGACAGAGAGAAAGGGAAGGTCAACAGAAAAAAATGAGTCACTTGGCTGTTTAAGCATTACCCCATGTCAGAAGAAAGAATGATTCACAAAATCAGCTTGTTAAAAAGGGAAAAACAATATTGATGTTCTCGACAGCATACAGTAGTTTGAGGGGTTTGTCTTCTCCAAAGAGGCGAAGAAAGCAGTATGTTGTTAAACACACACACACACACCAAAAAAAAAAAATAATTTAATTAAATAATCAAATCAAATAAAATAAATTTAAATAAAATTAGCAGCAGTAACCCCTATACAGTATATTTATTGAAGGACTCCTTATTGTCATTATAATGTTGGTAAATAAAATACAAATAAAATAAAATAAAATAAAATAAAATGAAGAATATAAGCAGCAGTAAACCCAACATATCTATTAAGAGCCTCTGTTTCTCATTATATTGGTGTTATGTGCGAGTATGTCATGGTGAATCTTTGTAAGGAATCTATAAAAATCCATTAGCCTTACATACAATAGCTTTATATTTCTGTGAGTCAGAGTCTAAGATGATACTGAGCATGTCAACACTTGAGCTGACAGGAATGCTGGGTAACAAATTGCTTTCCGTCAGAGGAAACCCTCAAGTCAGCACTTTTCTTCCTCACAGTTCAACCTATATGGGAAAGCCGAAACAAAGGCTTCTTTAACAGCTGAAACAGAATGTTACAAGCAAGATGACAAAAAGTTGTATAAATCTCAATGAGAGTGAGTCACAATCAGAGGCCAAAAGGTACCTCTTTATGACTTTCTACCAAGGTACTAGCCCTGATCTTCAATCACAATGCCTTGTACAACTGTTTGTGGCAGCATTCACAGTGTAGTAAGCTTTGGAATACTTTAAACCAAGGCCGTAACCATGGGGCGAATGTAAAACATTTCTACATTTCATAAAACAGTTTACTAATATTAAATGATTTGCAGCTTCCATCTTACCTAACTTTCTTTCAACGTTAAACTGATGCTTTGCGCTGGAATTCGCGCTCTGCTTCTGTGAACAGCAAACCCTGCCTACTTTGATTTGATTGGCCACATCAATTATTTTGACATTGACGAGCACTGTTAGAGTGCTGAGCCAGACCAGGCTGAAAATGTAACTTTTAAAGCTTTTTGTCATCTTAAAAACCAGAGCGCTGCGTAATGAAGTGCAGCAGATCAGTGCAAGAATTTCAAATATTGGGTGGGGGGCAGATTGGCCATGGTATTGGACTTGTCCCCCTCAATGTCTATGGTAGTTACAACCCTGCTTTAAACCATTCTTCAAGAACAGATTGCTGGAAAATCACAATTGCTGAGACAGAAACCCCCCCACTGTTGCACAAATGGGCAGAAATGCCGATGAAGAGTCAAAGGTGTGGAACAGACATGGGAACGAAGCCAGCCTTGGGAGAAACCTAGATGCTGATTAGGCAGTAGGACAGGCATGAAGTGCACAGCATTTTTTAATCATCTCATCTCTTATCCATGATTTACTCACCCTCAAGACATCCTAAGTTATATGGCTTTCTTCTTTCAGACGAATACAATTGGAGTTCTATTTAAAAATGTACACCTAGGACGGCTTGAGGGTGAGTAAATCATGGGGTAATTTTCATTTTTGGGTGAACTATCCCTTTAATCCAGGAATGTGTCCTACTGGGATAAGCTTGATAAGCTTGAAGGTACAGAAGGAAAACCTAATTCTGAGGGTGGAAAATAGGGGCATAAAACTACACTAAACATAAAATTTGGTGCATGAAACCTAATGAAAAACTGTCAAAACGTATGCCCCCTGTAAAAAACACAGAGGCACTAAATTTACATTAAGTGACTGCATGTAATTCTACTCTGTAGTGGGTTTTGATCACATAGTATGACACTGTGTTTCACAGTTAGTGTGTGTGTGTGTGTGTGTGTGTGTGTATACCTGATTCTGTTTGAGTGTTGACACTAGTTTCTGTAGAGTAATGTTCTCCTCCTCCAGTTCAGTGTAGTCCTGCAGCAGTCTGGTCTCTCTGAACTTATACTCTCTGATTTCCTCTCTCATCCTGTTCCTTTGTAGCTCTAACATCTCATTATTCTGACAGAGAGAAAGGGAAGGTCAACAGAAAAAAATGAGTCACTTGGCTGTTTAAGCATTACCCCATGTCAGAAGAAAGAATGATTCACAAAATCAGCTTGTTAAAAAGGGAAAAACAATATTGATGTTCTCGACAGCATACAGTAGTTTGAGGGGTTTGTCTTCTCCAAAGAGGCGAAGAAAGCAGTATGTTGTTAAACACACACACACACACCAAAAAAAAAAAATAATTTAATTAAATAATCAAATCAAATAAAATAAATTTAAATAAAATTAGCAGCAGTAACCCCTATACAGTATATTTATTGAAGGACTCCTTATTGTCATTATAATGTTGGTAAATAAAATACAAATAAAATAAAATAAAATAAAATAAAATGAAGAATATAAGCAGCAGTAAACCCAACATATCTATTAAGAGCCTCTGTTTCTCATTATATTGGTGTTATGTGCGAGTATGTCATGGTGAATCTTTGTAAGGAATCTATAAAAATCCATTAGCCTTACATACAATAGCTTTATATTTCTGTGAGTCAGAGTCTAAGATGATACTGAGCATGTCAACACTTGAGCTGACAGGAATGCTGGGTAACAAATTGCTTTCCGTCAGAGGAAACCCTCAAGTCAGCACTTTTCTTCCTCACAGTTCAACCTATATGGGAAAGCCGAAACAAAGGCTTCTTTAACAGCTGAAACAGAATGTTACAAGCAAGATGACAAAAAGTTGTATAAATCTCAATGAGAGTGAGTCACAATCAGAGGCCAAAAGGTACCTCTTTATGACTTTCTACCAAGGTACTAGCCCTGATCTTCAATCACAATGCCTTGTACAACTGTTTGTGGCAGCATTCACAGTGTAGTAAGCTTTGGAATACTTTAAACCAAGGCCGTAACCATGGGGCGAATGTAAAACATTTCTACATTTCATAAAACAGTTTACTAATATTAAATGATTTGCAGCTTCCATCTTACCTAACTTTCTTTCAACGTTAAACTGATGCTTTGCGCTGGAATTCGCGCTCTGCTTCTGTGAACAGCAAACCCTGCCTACTTTGATTTGATTGGCCACATCAATTATTTTGACATTGACGAGCACTGTTAGAGTGCTGAGCCAGACCAGGCTGAAAATGTAACTTTTAAAGCTTTTTGTCATCTTAAAAACCAGAGCGCTGCGTAATGAAGTGCAGCAGATCAGTGCAAGAATTTCAAATATTGGGTGGGGGGCAGATTGGCCATGGTATTGGACTTGTCCCCCTCAATGTCTATGGTAGTTACAACCCTGCTTTAAACCATTCTTCAAGAACAGATTGCTGGAAAATCACAATTGCTGAGACAGAAACCCCCCCACTGTTGCACAAATGGGCAGAAATGCCGATGAAGAGTCAAAGGTGTGGAACAGACATGGGAACGAAGCCAGCCTTGGGAGAAACCTAGATGCTGATTAGGCAGTAGGACAGGCATGAAGTGCACAGCATTTTTTAATCATCTCATCTCTTATTTAGTCTTACTTATAATTTACACTACCACTCAAAAGTTTGGGGTCAGAATGTTTTTATTTTCTGAAATAAATTAATACTTTTATGGAGCTCTTGTCATTCACCCATTTACAATCCCTGCTGGTACCGAGATTCAAACCCACGAACTTTGGGTTACAAGTCCGACTCTCTAACCATCAGACCATGACTGATCACCCATTTACAATCCCTGCTGGTACCGAGATTCAAACCCACGACCTTTGGGTTACAAGTCCGACTCTCTAACCATCAGACCATGACTGAGAGCAATGATGCTGGAAATTCAGCTTTGACATCACATAAAATATAATGAAATAGAAAACAGCTATTTTAAACTGTAATAATATTACTGTTTTTACAGTGTTTTCGATCAAATAAATGCAGCCTTGGTGAACATGAGACTTCTATAAAAAATACAAAAAAAAAATAATTACCAACCCTGAAAAAAAAACATATAATAAAATATTAAAGTAAAATTTAATTTGATATCCTAATGTATATGAAAAAAAAAGCGTCTAGACGTTCACTGAAGCTGCAACAAAAATCAATCCAAATTGAAGTAAAGCTGTCGCCAACAAATCCTCCATAACTGGAATTAGAGGATCAAACACTGTCATGGCAGAAGATATTTTGCACACCCTGGCAGATGACCTTCCCCTGAGCTGAGATATTGATTACTGTACACAATACAGGAGCTCTCCCAGAGGATGTGATGTCTCACTGCATATTCCAAGCGCTGCTGTGCCAGTTCAAATGAGCTGGGCATGAACTCCAGGGGATTACTGACCAATTATCTCCCAGTACAGCTCTATTGTAGCAGTTGTAATCATGGGCTTCACACACTCAGGGGTCAGGAGCAGTGCAGTAGCCTACAGTACTGTAGCAAACCTAGTATGTGCCATGCCAAAATCCACTACAGTAATGCTGGTTATAAGATGGAAGTGTTGCACACACATTATGAAGTAAACATAGGCCAGAATTAAACTAGTGGCATAAAATGGTATAATAATGACTTCTAAACCACCCTTTCCTGCCTGCCCCCTATTCCATTGGTCAACAAACAAGTAGACCCACCCCAATCGCACAACATTGGAGCTATTCTGAAAGTGCCACAGAGATTTTGGGAAGTCAGTCTATGCTTACTCATACTTTATCTGTACATTAATTGGGATAGGTAAAATATTTTAACAGTGATAAAATGTTCAAATACTTCAAGAAATAAACAACTCTCAAACATCTTGTGAAATAGCAGTTATGAACACATTTTGCTGGTCTAAAATGTATGGCACACATGATATGCTCAGTGTTATATCATAGTTTTTATTTTTATATTTTCTGTTTTCATTTTAATTATAAAGCTTCAGTAATTTTGTTGTGTTTTTTGTTTATTATTATTATTATTGTCTGTGTCTAATATGTTTATATAGTTTTTATGAATTTTCTTTCAGTTTTAGTTTGAGTTATTTTAGTACATCAAGTTAAACTAAATGAAACTGAGAAATGTTTCCTTGCCAACTAGATGAAAATAAATAAGTGTAAGGTTTATATATATATATATATTTTTTTATTTCAGTTAACATTTATTTTATTTCAAGTAACAAAAAAATGTTTTGTTAATGGTTTTAATTTGAGTTACCTATAATAGCCCTGCATATGTTTTAAAAAAAAAATCTAAATTACAACCAACAGATTTATATCAATTACTTGGAATAGGATTTGTCTTGATTAAAATTAAATGAAGACAAAAATAAAACAATGCGGGAAAACCTGCAGCTAATGTTCTTCTACAGATGAAATGCGTCCAGATTATGATCAACTACTTTGCCAAACTACATTTATCAAGAGTACGCATAAAAAAAATCTAAATTTCTAAACTTCTAAAGCCACTTTTATAATGTCTATTCAATGATTTATTGCTTAATATCTTAATATATATATTTTTTTGCCGTGTAAAACATTCTAAAAACATAAAACTATTTGTAAAATAAATTTAGCATGACATTTCAGTTATTATTTGAGCTATAACTGAATAAAATGCTCATGTTAACGTAATCTAGACCGTCAGAGTACCTTGATTTACTGTGGTAATTAAGCTATTCAAAATGTGAGGTGTGACCCGGTGTGAAATTCTAAGTGAAATTCCCTGTCTCATAGGCTGTGTGTGTACAGTGTGTCTTTGTGCCGACCTCAGGGCATTTCTCTTATGCCACAGCTTAGCCATGGATTTGCCCCCTACAATGCACTATGGCGACAGCCTCTGACCCTGACACCACCCTCTGCCTCCAGTGACTGCTGACACACAGACTGACTCCCCTCAAAATAACCCGTTGACCCAAGATGGGAGTTTCATATAGTCTTGTAAAATTAATTACATTAGCACAAGGGTGTGCTAATTTTCCAATGTGTATACTTGGATATGTTTTATATGGATGTAATGTGACAGCAGTTCCACCAGTATAAGAAAATACACAGCTCACCTCTCCGAGTTCCTGCACCAGGGCGTTGAGATGTTCAGTCTCCACTTGGGCGCTGGAGGCCACGGAGCTGCTCAGGTTGAGCTGGGTTTGAAGGTCCACCAGACGTCCCATATAATAGGCCTCTTTGGAGGCAGATTCCTGCAATAATGTCTCTTCGTTTGTCTCACCATCCTCGGCTACTTTACGCTGGCTGGTGTAAGCCTGACCGAACGCCTGGAGAAAAATGAATGACAGAAACAGAAAAGGGGTGTTTAAGGAAGTGTCGACAAAAATTATGGCTGTGTTCACAACAGCCTACTACCATACTACCAAACACCTGACGGTAGCCATCGACTTCCATAGAATTATTTTCCACACTATGGAAGTCAATGGCTACCGTCAACTGTTTGGTTACTAACATTCTTCAGAATATCTTCTTTTGTGCTCAACAGAATAAAGAAAATCATACAGGTTTGGAACACCTTGAGAATAATGTTGAGTAAATGATGACAGATATTTAATTTTTGAATGAAATATTAATTTTAAGTATACTGAGCCTCTGCATATTTTATCATTGCATAACAGCATACCAATTCATGACAAAAGATCAAGCAATTAACACTGACAGATATGTGCTATTAGCAAGTGTCAAGAATAATTAGGTGACCCGAATGAATAGACTAATATGCTAAATGACACCAAATTAACAAAACCAATGTGATCTGATATTACAGAAAGCGACAAGGCATTAAGATTCGACAGATTTGATCTTGCTCAGATTTGATTGAGCTGTCAGCATGAAAAAACCAAGGTGTGTCAATATTACTGTTAGATGGCACAATATGAGATGTGTTTGTTAATGTAAGTGTAATGTAATTTGAATTTAAATCACACTTCCTGGTGAGGACGGCCCACATTTCAACAAAACTGCACCACCTTTCCTCTCTCATCACCTGCCCAGGCAAAGTGCTGCACTTCAAGGTAACTGAGATAATATTTCAGCTGCTCACTCGGATCAATAGAAACAGTGTTCCGATTGCCCTGACACAGGTTTTCACTCCATGCAGATCCGGTGTTTCATGACTTAAGCATCCTGTCTTGATTGGAAGATGGCGGTAGATGATAAACAGGAAGGAGGAATGAGCCAGGGTAAACAGTCTGACCTGTTCTGAAAAGTTATCACAAGGCTAATCGGTATATTATTAAATCTATTGCTCATTTTATGCTTTCATGACACTACATGTACACTATTGCACTTGTGCATCATGGTGCATCTTAAGCAATAAGTCAATAAAGCAATAATGACAGATTATAATATGCAAGTACAGGTTATATGGTGTCTTTGTGATGCTCACAATACCTGAGCCATTATGAGAGAAGCATAACTGGAATGAGTACCAGCAGAGACCTCCCATCTGAAGAGAAAATCAATTAAAGACACACTAAAAAGAGGAAGAGATGTGTATATGGATGGGGGAAAAAATCAATTGGAGTACTGATGGCAGCTTACAGCAAATCTGAATGAAGAGTGAAGGTGGTTAAAAAGTTGCTGATGTGGATGCAGAAAATGTCAAATACTGGAATGGCTTTCCAAGCACTGAACCAATTCAAGTCATAACTAATTTAAGAAAGAAAGATTTCAAGAAATACAATATTTCAAAGCAAAAGGTTGTTTGGGTAAATGCAAAAATTGGTTTATATGTAAAGATATTTACACATATTTCAAAATAACCCCAAACAAAATATTTTATAAAAACATAAAAATAAAACAAAATAAAATAATAAAATACAATTTAATAAAATATATTACAGTAATGAGAATTTAGTTTTTTCTAAAAAAAATCATAATGGTCCAAAAACTTCCTTTATGCAATAAATAAAAAAAGTGCACAATAATATGTTATTTATCATATCAACAGTTTAGTTTTATAAGCAGATATTACCCATGTATTAGAGTGTAAACAACACGAGATTTCTTTTTTTATTGCCTATAGTGGATCAAAGTGTATTGTCTGTTGTGACCACAGGCCATTTATCATACTTGCCCATTTCATGGACAATGAAAATATTCCTACTACATGAATTTTTTATTATTGTCAGGAATTTGATTTACGATGCACTTTTGCAGTGTATTTGATCCAATTCTCAAATTCTACTTAATAATCCAGTTTCAGTGGTTAAATGCACAATAATATGTTATTTATCATATCAACAGTTTAGTTTTATAAGCAGATATTACCCATGTATTAGAGTGTAAACAACACGAGATTTCTTTTTTTATTGCCTATAGTGGATCAGAGTGTATTGTCTGTTGTGACCACAGGCCATTTATCATACTTGCCCATTTCATGAACAATGAAAATATTCCTACTACATGAATTTTTTATTATTGTCAGGAATTTGATTTACGATGCACTTTTGCAGTGTATTTGATCCAATTCTCAAATTCTACTTAATAATCCAGTTTCAGTGGTTAAATGGTCACTGCCACAAGATTATCAATGAATAATGACTTACAGTTCAGAATATTTCTTAGACAAAGCTATGGCTTATGAAGACTAGTGAATATAAGTCCTTTAAATCATTTTTGGGTGTACTATCTCTTTAACACTCACAGTTTTTTCTTTCCTTTCCTTTTGATTACTGAACTCTGGGGAGAAGGCACAAAAGCGAATGGATACACCGTGTTGATTAATTCAGTGACAGAAGTGTGAATAAGCTCTCATTGTGATTTAAAATGAGGGCCTGTCGAAGTCCCAGAATCCCTGCTGAAGGCCCTCTGCCTCCCAGCTGCGCTCTGAGAGAGAACAAGAGAGAGATGTATGGACTCACGTATCGGACGTTGCTGTGACCACAGAGACTCGATCTTTGCTGTATAATGTAGGAGGCAGATGGTTTGTGGAGGCAGTGTGTCCGTAAAGCTGAATTTCTCCATCTGGTTCCTGTTATTTAAAACGGGCGGTCACACTACGATGCCCACTCAATAACTAATCTCTACACTAGTCTCTGAATTTTAAGTTTGATGTTTATGGCATATTCAAATTTTGAAAACTTTTGAGGCATTGTCTCTCATGGATGAAACTCACAGAAATTGTCAGAGCCATATTTCTTCCAAATAAATAAATAAATAAATAGTGTATTTTATATATATATAATATATATATATATATATATATGTGTGATCAGTCTGGCGAGTAAACTAAAAAATTTACTAGCCAATGGCGATTCAATTGCCAAGGT